TGCTAGGAAGTGACGACATGTTGTTACTAGGCGCCATGTCGTGCTCGCCGCATCCAGCTGTAGTTCTCTGCCAACGAGCGGGTTTCTAACGCAGCTCTGAGGTTCGTGTGTTCGTCTTCTCTTAGAAACATCGTGTCTGAGGAGAAGAACACAGACATAGCGTCAAACTCCGTCTGTCTCTCCACGTCAGGTACAATATCGCTGCCACACCGCTAAAGCTAGCTAACCTGGGGGAGTTAGTTAAGCTAGTTTGCTAACAACCTCATTACAACGTCCAATATATGTTTCCCGTTGTGTTTCTTAGGTGAACAGCTGTGTAGTTAATATGTTAGTGATACTTTCAACAAATACGTCTCAGTTTACATTGGTCACAGTTTATGACTAATAACGTTTCATTTGTCTCATTGTTATTCATTCAAGTTAGACACAGTTTAAAGACTATGTCAATGTGTTAGCAGGTTTAAGCTCCTCAATTACAAATTAATGACAGAATTACATTTCAGTCTCGAGGCAATGTCTTTCACTGCTTGGGTTTGTTTTTGACGCTAAACTAAAGATATGAAACTTATTTTTGAGAAAATAGGACTAGATGGTGAATATTCCTTTTAAGTTTGAAGGTCGTGTGCACAAAACAAGCTATACAACTTGACTCAGTGCCATATTAAACAGATCAAATGGGAAATTCCAATTACTTAAGGAGCTTGAACCAACAAACCCTTTGCATGTTTGCTTGAAAGGTGAATCAAACGATTGTTATTAAAATATTTTGAAAAACAAATGATTTTCATCCACCAACTGTAGACCAACAAACATAATAACAAAACATAGCAAACAGAAAATAAATCAAACAAAACAAACTCAGAATAAAGTGAATTTACTCTGCCTGTAACTAATCAAGCTTCTCCTTCATAAAGAATATATCATCAATAATACGCCAAACCTAAACCATCAAAACAATCCATCTCTATCAAGCACACTCATATATATATATATATCATTATATATAAATATAGATATTATTATAGATTATTTACCCTTAAAAATGTAACAAATATATATATTTTTTTAACACTCTGATAAATCATTTAAGCTTTAACCTGCAATCTATTGTAGAGAACATTTGCATCTATTCTTATTTTGCTAATCTGACTTTAATGTGTTGTAATATTGGTGATAAGTGCAGCTTGAAAACTGTAGACTGATACTTCACATATTAGGGAGAGTAATTTAGACTTTTTGTTGTGGATTTATTTCAAAAGTTTTTTGATCACTGTTTTGTCATGTTGTGTGGAAGTAATGAGAGACCACTATGGTTAGCTGTATTATGAAGTAAAGATAATGTTTTGTAAATGGCCTAAATCATGGAAAACTATTTCTCTTAAATCTTTAAATGACATGAAAGACATCAAAGACCTCATCCTCACACTCTCAGACAGGTTCAGTGGGTGAGATCAGACGAGTCATGTTCAACCCCAGTGAAGTTGAASGTGAGGTGGATCATTCATTTTTCGACAGTGATGCTGATGAAGGTAGCATGAACAGAGGAGGGGAAATGATAGAGCATGAGCTTCAAGCAAAACAGACTGAAAAAGCAAATGATGGTTTGTCCCAGAGGACTGATGGGACAGAAAAACAAGTTAACAACAACCYAAGCAGTGGGGAAAGTAAAGAGAGCAGCTATATATCAAAGGAAGAAAATAATCAAAGGGTTTCGGACCTATCATCTGTTGCCTRTATGTCACAAAAAGGCATCAGTATCAGCAGTGATAGTGAGGAAGATTACAGTGYGCACTCTAAAAGACCCAATAAGACATTCATGGCTTTGTTAGATGAGGTGAATMATAGCGACATGTATAACCAGAGTCCAAATAAAACTGAAGAAGAAGCTTCGCCATCCACTGCCACACACTTGGAAAYGAGAAATAAACACTCTCCTAAAAACCTGACAAGAAAATGGCGCAGCCAAAGTCCATCCCCCACTTCAGCTGAGGAAGCAGACTCAGAAAGCTGTTCTAGATGTAATAGTAGTAGGTCGCGCACCRCTCACAATTCCATGAAGTCGTCTTTATCTCCTCGAGAGAGAAAGGCCAGAGTGGGCTCAGCAGGATCTTGGGATATGTCCACCAGATATACAGAGGAGTCAGATTATACAGCGACAGATGTGAGCTCCCTCTACTCCCCTGACATCAGCCCTCTGCAGTATTTGGACTTGAAAGACACAGAGGCGGAGGAGTGGCAGGAGAGTGTGCCCTCCAGTGGCCTCAGCGATACACATCACAACGAGGACTCAGATCAGGATGTGGATGAGTGTGAGTTCAGAAACTATTATCACAAAATTATTTATCGCTTTATTTAGCTGGGACAATGTATAGTACTAGTCATAAAAGTAAATGCCTCAGATTAAGTTAATTCACTTTTGAGACAAATAGAAGGCCATTTAAACATTGCAAATAACACAGTTACTCTGTTAAAGAAAATGAAAATACTATTCTAAATACATTCTCCTTTTCATCGATCAGTCACCCTCAATTCAGAGAGTCAATTTGGAGGTGGAGTGGCCGTCTGCTATGCTGRTCAGAAAAACAGGAAGAACTACTCATTCATCAACGAAAAAACCCGCCTCATAGGTCTGGAGAACCAGCGACTGCTTCGGGTGTTGTCACGTATTTCTTCCAGACCAGACAGTACAGCGAAGAAGGAAACCAATAAAACCAGCAACTCATCTGCCATTCSCCTTAATTACAGTGCCATTAACAGACAGCGGGAACAGAAACGCATCGACAGGGAGAATCTGGTGAGCGTTCATTTTCTTGTTTTTTGGCATCAATCTAATATAAATCTCCATGATTTATATGTATTTCCTATTTATTAGAATTAGGTTCCCTGGGATCATGAGCACACATCAGTTGCATCTGATCCATGGAAGGAGATCTATATATAGAGTCAAATTTTCACCCTTTGCAAATAGCATGTATTCTTGTATCTCTCTAATACAACCCATTGCATACTCATCACTGTGAACTATATGAAAAATTGGTCTGGCCTTCAAAAGCAAAAAGCAGAGAACTAAATTCTATCTTTGTACCATATGGAATGAATTCCAGAGGGTTTTTTCTCTTGTCTGTTTTGCAAAAGAAATCTAGATCTCAATGGAATTATTTAAAGAAAAGTAATATCTTCCTAATATATGGGCACTGCAGGTCAGGAGGTAGTGAGGGTTGTCCACTAGCCACAGTGTTGGTGGTTTGATCCCCAGCACCTCCAGCTGTGCTGCATATAGAAATGACTGCTGTAAAGCAGTTTGTGTGGTTGATAAGATTGGAAAGGTGCTATATAAAAAATAGTCCATTTACCACAATTAAACAATTGCAAATTGCCCAAATATCATAGAATATACGGGGGTGATGTATGAGATGAAAAGATAGTTAAAGATAGGTCAAGTTTAGTCAGTGATATGTGTCACTAGAGTGGAAAAAATATATAGAACTACAATAAAAAATCAACAGAATTTTTCTTGAAAAATATAATAATATATATAATGTAAATGCAAATCTTTGCTGCATTGTTAATATCGTTGTAAACTGTGAAAGGCTCATTTAGGCAACATGTTGGACTATATGTTTAAGGATACCAGTCAGATTGGGGGTTATCTGGTTGGGTTATCTGGTTAGTGTCAGTCTGAGTGTCACCCCTGAAAGCAGACACGGATGGACTTGGACAGATGGCAGCAGGTGGCGGGCTCGCCGCAGTGCCTCAGAGTGACATTAAAAGACAGTTCAGCGTCTGCAGCTGTAGCCCCTCACCTCATATATTCACTGTGCTTGACCACGCAGTCATTAAAACACAGGCTCAGACAAGCAGCAGTGTTAATTCAGCAAGTTAATTTTGGAGAAAACATTTTTTTACTGTTACTAAATGAAAGCAGGGAAAACTCTTCATTCTTTTCCTTTATTGTCACTAATGTTTGTCATTTTAACTGAGTAGAAAATATGTCCATATTGTTTTGTATAGAGGAATCAGTGCCAGTCATTATCAGGACAAACTGTTCCTCCTCTTGATTCTATCTACGTTGTGCATTTCGCCTTCTCTATTCTTAGAGTGAAGTAATTGAATCTGCTGTGTGATGAGTGTATCCACCCCACACATCACACGTGTCCTGCACAAGTAGAATTAGTTATGCACTTTCAAGATTGGTCAGTTGCACAAAGTACTTCATTTTGTATAGGGGAGAGCTGGAAAAAGCAGTAGGTGACAGTGTCTGCAGTGACTGTAAAAACCAGAAGCTCTTTGGAAAATTTGTGAACTTCAGTACTTGAGCTTTTCGCTGGTTACATTGCTTCATAGACAGTTTTTGCTTACTGGTGGATTTCTGCACAGCACAGCATGCATGTGGGTGTGTGACTGCATGTATGACATTCAGCCATTTGCCTACACTGTTTTTGTTTCATGCTGTTTGTTTTTTTTGTGCTGTGAAGTACCAGATATATATTTTTTTCGCCTTATTTGATTGTGATTCGTACAATAGGGCTATTTTGTGCTTAATTTCTTCATTTAGAAATGATATAGATGCTTTTTAAAAGTAACAATAAATGTGTCAGTAAATATAAATGGGTCAGTAAATAAACAGTGTTTTGCTAGAAATCATCAGCATTCATATCGTACTCTTGCGTGTGAGTCTTAGTTCATATTTAAGTCTTGTGTCTGAAGTCAGACATAACTCAGCCAGAGACACTGACTGACTTTAAGGGTCTGTCGAGCCTTCGTAGTGATATGAGCTCTACTGAGTTTTCTTTGTTGTTTGTGAACCTCTTTTGAGTGGAAGAATTTGGTATAAGACAATACATCTTAGAATAGATTCTCAACTGAAATGTATTTGTTCCTTGCAGGCTTTTCTGAAGCGACTGGAGTCTGTCAAGCCAACACCTGGTTTGTGTCGCACAGAGCTACTAGCATCATATTTTGGAGCACCTGTTAACCGAAATRGACCCTCTCCAAAGAAAGACACGTCCACCAGCAGAACAAACGCAGGCAAGTTATTTGTTTCTGACAACTTTATTGTGTTAAAATACAATTGGCAAATGAGTACCTGCTCACATAACCACACGACACTTTAAAAAACAAGCATTTCTTGTCCATCTCTCCCTCATTTATTTATTTATTTCATATGTACGACTGAACCAGGAGGGTCAGGAGATTACCACTTTTAGAAAAACCCACTTGTGAGGTAACTTCCCAGCATCTTACCACCTAAGCACACAACCCTTGTGGAGGGTTATCATCCCTCAATAGAAGGTTCACAGGGAGTCATTGACCCTGTTCAGACCTGGTGTTAACATCTGTCCTGAGAGATCTGATCTCAAAGAGAACCAGCGTGTGGCACTGTGCTGCATAACACTGCTCAAATCTGATGCTTTCAGATAGCTACAGATACAGAACTTTAATAAAGACTAAGATTTTCAGACAGAGTGAAGCCGCTGTGGATGACGGATTAGAAACAAAAGTCTTTAACAACTTTGCTGAAGCTCCTACTCTCATCGAAAAAACATTTACTTGTTGATTTAAATCACTCTAGGAGTTTTGGGAGAATATTTAGAGGTGATTTTTTTAGCATTACTATAGAATTATCCGTTATTGTGTAAACTGCAAAGTAGAATCCAAGGTACTCATTGGCAATTTGATGTGTGTGTGTGGGTTTTAACCAGCACTGCACTTTTTTGTTGCGGCTAAAATGTTACATGTAGAAATTCTTTTTTTAAAATTTACTTTTAACAATATTAAGTATTGATAAGTGTGTAATTAGGACATATCTTTCTGTTGTGCAGCAGCAAGTCCAAGGTCATCTACTTCCACCAACCACAGCTCCAGAGCAGTTTCCATCCCCACAGACTCCGACAGCA